TCCTCCTCACCATAGCCTTTCCAATGAACCAAGTATTGAAGCTTGTTGCGGAAGATCCTGGAGTCAAGAATTTTTTCCACCTCGTATTCATCTTCACCATCCACGAGGACTGGTGGTGGGGCAGGCAAGGCTCGACCAGGGAAAGTATTTTCATGAAAAGGTTTAAGCAGTGCCACGTGAAACACCGGATGTATTTTCATGGAATCCGGAAGTTGCAGACGGAAGGTGACTGCATTGATCTGAGCGATTATCTTAAAAGGTCCCATGAACTTTTGACCCAATTTATGAGAAGGAATCCTAAGCTTAAGATTCTTTGTTGACAGCCAAACCTTGTCACCAACATGATAAACTGGGGCCTCCTTTCTGTGCCTATCAGCAGCTCTTTTGTAACATTCCTGAGCCTCCGAAAGAGTCTCCTTCAACAGTTCTTGGGAATCTCGTAAGGCGGTTAGCCGGTCAGTGACTGCAGGAATGGGAGTAGTAATTGGGAGACTCACTAGAAAGGTTGGATGGTAACCATAATTGGCAAAAAATGGGCTCAGAGAAGTGGAGCAGTGTTGGGCATTGTTATAGGCAAACTCCGCCGTGGGTAGAAAATCCAGCCAGTCATCCTGCAGGTAACTAATATAGCACCGCAAATATTGTTCTAAAGTCTGGTTGGTTCGCTCAGTCTGTCCATTACTTTGTGGATGAAAAGCTGAAGACAGATTTACATTAATACCTAGAATAGAACAAAAATATTTCCAAAAATGAGATGTAAACTGCACTCCCCTGTCAGAAATTACTTCATCAGGCACTCCATGCAAGCGAAATATTTCCCGAATAACAAGGTCAGCAGTCTGTTTAGCTGAAGGGAGACCACGAGCTGGTATGAAATGACTCATCTTGGTTAACCGGTCCACAACAACAAGAATAGTAGTGTGTTCCTTAGAGGGAGGTAGTTCCACAATAAAGTCCATGGATATAGATCCCCAGGGACGATGAGGAATCGGAAGAGGCTGAAGCAAGCCAACAGGGGATGAGCGAGGAGTCTTATGTCTGGCACATACATCACAAGAGGACACATACTTCTTAACATCCTCATAATATTTAGGCCACCAAAAGGATCGGGTAAGTAGTTCTTGTGTCTTTCGGATTCCTGGATGACCTGCTGGTTTAGAGTCATGGTAGAGGCGTAAAACGTCCAGTCGCACTGATTCTGGAACAAACAGACGCTGTTGAAAAATCCAAAACCCATTAAGCATGGTCATATGAAGATCACGAGGAGGATCACGAAAAACTGGATCTTTAGAGTAGCCCTTTTTAATGCGAGACATTAGATCAGAAGGAAAGGTAACTCCTAAAAATCTGCTCTCCGGCAAGATGGTGGCCTTGGTTACTGTAGTATGGAGGGGGTCAGCTATCCTAGACAAGGCATCCGCCTTGCCATTTCTGGAACCAGGGCGGTATGAAATAAAAAAATTAAACCTTGAGAAAAATAGGGACCAGCGTGCTTGTCTGGCTGACAGTCTCTTAGCGGATTGGATACATTCCAGATTTTTGTGATCTGTGAGGACAGTAATTGGATGGGTGGCTCCCTCCAAGAGATGTCTCCATTCGGTGAAGGCAGCTTTTATAGCCAAAAGTTCTTTATTCCCTATGTCATAATTTCTTTCTGCTGGTAACATCTGGCGGGAATAGAAGGCACATGGATGTAACAACATCTTAGGTCCAGTCCTTTGAGATAGTATAGCCCCAACAGCTGAATCAGAAGCATCTACCTCTACAGTAAATGGCAATTCTGGCTGAGGATGTACCAAGATAGGAGCAGATGTAAACAGAGTCTTTAATCTGGAAAATGCAGTGTCAGCCTTATTGGACCACTGAAAAGGAGTCCCTTTACGTGTAAGTTCAGTGATCGGTGTAATAACGGCAGAGAAATTCTTAATGAAACGCCTGTAAAAATTGGCAAACCCCACAAATCTCTGTATATCTTTTTCATTCTTGGGGATGGGCCAGTCCAGCACAGCTTTAATTTTACTTGCGTCCATACTTAAACCTTTAGGAGTTATTACATACCCCAGGAACTGAATTTCTGTTTGTTCAAACTCACATTTTTCCAGTTTAATGTATAGGTGGTGGGTACGAAGGCGCTCAAGAACAATGCAGACCTGTTTTCTGTGATTTTCAAGATTATCAGAAAATATCAGGATATCATCCAAATATGCCACAACAAACTGATCCAGGAGATCCCGTAGTACATCATTGATTAGATGCTGAAAAGTTGCAGGGGCATTACAAAGCCCAAATGGCATTACTAGATATTCGTAATGTCCGTACCTGGTTCTGAAAGCTGTTTTCCATTCATCATTTGGTCTTATGCGAACCAGATTATATGCCCCCCGTAGATCAAGCTTCGTAAATATTTTAGCTGAACGAAGTCTTTCCAGAAGTTCAGGAATGAGAGGCAAGGGATAACGGTTTTTAACAGTGATTTTATTAATGTCCCTGTAATCGACACATGGCCGTAGACTGCCATCTTTCTTTTCTACAAAGAATATAGGAGCTCCTGCTGGAGAAGTGGATGGTCGAATAAAGCCTTTGGCAAGATTTTCTTGTATGTATTCACGAAGTGCTTTCAATTCAGGCTCAGAAAGGGAGTATATACGGCCAAATGGGATAGCAGCTCCAGGTAGCAGCTCTATGGGGCAATCATAAGGCCTATGAGGTGGAAGCTGATCAGCATTCTTCTTATCACAGACATCTGCAAAATCCCGATATTGTAGCGGAAGCTTAGTTAAGTTTGTAGCAACCATTTCATTAATTGTTGTGGTAACAGGTGTCGCCTTAGAGGGTTGACAATTCATTAAGCAGTGTTCTGAAGGAAAGGACAAAGTTCTAGTCTTCCAATCAATCTGTGGGTTATGCAGAGCAAGCCAGGGTATACCCAAAATCACTGGAAACTGTGTTGAGGAAATTAGGTGGAAAGATATAGACTCATGGTGATTCACTTCCAGAATCAATTTTAAGGGCACAGTCTCATGTGTAACCGGGCCTGACGTAAGTGGAGAACCGTCTACTGTTTCCATTAACACAGGTGAAGATTTAGGGATAGACTGAATTTTATTTTCTGCTGCAAATTTAATGTCCATAAAGTTTCCGCCTGCTCCGGAATCTATCATAGCTGTAGTTGAAATTTTATTATTACCATATTGCAAAGTGATAGGCACCACCAAATGAGGATGTTGAGTCATCATACCTTCTTCACCCTGAGCCAGAGAAAACAAGGGTTGTATGACAGAATCCAGTTGGTCTGAAATCTGGGATTGGTGTTGAATCTGTGCACCCTCAGCAGTCATAGCTATTGTTCTTTTAGACTTGTTAGGGCAATTGATGGCATAATGCCCTGTACTACCACAATACAGGCATAAGTTGTGAGTGCGTCGCCACTGTTTTTCTTCATTGGATAATGGCCCTCTTATTAGATCTACCTGCATAGCCTCAGGTTCAGAGTCTGTAGGTGTTTGTGGGGTCGGAGTAGAAATTCTTGAATAGAAAGTAGGAGTAGCACTTGGTTTAAAAGAGCCCTGTCTTTCCAATCTTCTTTCTGAAAGTCTCCGATCAATACGGATAGCCAACCGCACAAATGCATCAAACTCAACAGGAAGATCAACACGAGCTAGCTCATCTTTTATAGCTTCTGAGAGACCCCTTCTGAAGTGGAACCTCTGGGCTGATTGGTTCCAAGTAGTATCAGTAACCCACTGTCTGAATTCAGCAGCATATTCAGCCACAGAGCGCCTCCCTTGATGTAAATGAAGGAGAGTGGCTTCTGCTGTAGCACAGCGATTGGGATCATCAAAAACTAGGCACATGGCCTCAAGAAAGTCTTTTAAATTTCCCAAGATTGGACTGTCCTGTTCCAGAAAAGGGGAGCCCCAGGCCAGGGCTTCATCTTTGAAGAGGGAAAAAATAAATCCCACCTTCTCTCTTTCAGATGGAAAACGGTTAGGTAACATCATGAAATGCAAACGGCATTGATTTAGGAAACCCCTGAATTTTTTGCGGTCTCCTCCAAATTTTTCTGGTAGAGGCAAGCGGGCATCTTGTGCAGGTGTAACAGTAGTAGTAGCAGCAGCCGCAACATCATGTGCCCTGTAGCTGGTAAGCTCACTATGCATTGATCGAACTTCATTTTGCAGTTCAGCTACCTGATCCTGCAGCACTTGAATGGTCTGTGCCTGGGTCTGCATAGTTCTTGCATTAAAAGCAACCTGCTGGGCCAATGCAGAATCTGATCCGACGGTCTCCATGAATGGGCCAGATTATTCTGTAATGATATTGATGTTACAAAGTTTTGGAGTCCAGTAGCCAGATCAGCAATGTTTTCTGCCAGAGGTAGCCACTCGTTACCCAGGTGGTTGAGCCCCTGAGCCTTGAGTGGCCTTCTGGTCTTAAGCAGAGATGGGAGACTGGAACAGAAAGATGATAATCGTAGTCAGGCAAGCCGAGGTCAGTGGGAAGGAGAAGCAGCAAAGTCAAAACAGTCCAAATTCAGCAACAGGAAGGAGAAACAGGAACACGCTGGATTAGAGAGTACAGGAACCACAATAATCTGGCAAAGGTACAGAGACAGGAAGTGGCTTTTATAGGCCAAGGACCAGACACCTGACCAGACACAGCTGAAGTGAGTTGTCACTGATAACCTTGACTCTACAAACAATAGTATCAGATCTCAGGTAAATGTGCAAAAGGCAGGCTGGTGTACTGGTAAGGAAAAGGTTTAGCACCATGTAAACCAGGGTTCGAAACCCAGCAGAGTCAGTTCCTCACACCACCTCTACACACACACACGCACACAATCATACAGGCAGCCTATACTCAACACTATTTACCAGTCCTGTATCACTTTTGTCCTCTGGTATCCCACTTAGGTGGACACCTCATAAATTACATGTGCAAATACAGTTCAAGCATGTCATTAAAATTCCACAAAACAGGGAGCCAACCTGCCACCTGGTATGGATGTCAAGCCGCAGACCCGCCCAAAAGAGCCACAAAGAAGCTCCGTCAGTGGCCGACATGCTCACCTCCCAGAGGCCTACACTCAAGTCCCAATAGGACGGACACAGCAAGCCCACCCAGGGCAGGAGATCCCCCCTCGGAAGCATTTTCCAGTGACATTCTACACTCCTTGGCAGAGGTTAAGGGGTATCTGCTGGTGGAAATAACATGCATAGCCACTGAGGTAAAGGCCGAAATAGCCGCCATTGAGTCCCGCATTAGAATCATCGAACAGAGCATGGACCACGTGGTGTCAGTCCATAATACAGCTGCAACACTCACTAACAAGTTCCTCCACAGGATTACTGACCTGGAGATTGAGCTTGAGGACGCCTCCAACCGATCACGGTGTGACAATTTACGCATCTGTGGCCTGCCGGAGACGGTTGAAGAGGCGGAATTGGAAGGAACCCTGGTGGCCTGCTTTCACCACAGCTTGCCGGACATCCCAGAACACCTCTGGCTAGTGGACAAAGTTCATAGTGCCCTCAGCGCAAGGGGACCGAAAAACAGCCCTCCCAGAGATGTCATGAAATGGCACTATTTCAAGACCAAAGAGGCCATCTTATGGCACAGCAGAACACAGGACTATGCACATGAAGGGAATGATCTCCAACTCTACCAAGATGTTGCCCTGGCCACACTCCCCCCGTACAAAATCCTAGTCTTCAACAGCCCAAAACTGGCGGTGTTATTACCCTCTATGGACATACCTACCTTCCTTAGGGACCTTCACATCCATGTACCTGAGGGCCTCCACATCCCGTCCACCTGTGCTGAGACACTCTCAATGTTACCTGGTGCCAGGGATGACCAACACCTCCTACCGGCCTAAACCGAGTACTTTGGCAATGAAGCAGCTGACATGCTTGAGAACCAGGCCTCACGCAATCTATTTCCTAACTCCCCAATGTTATATTTGTTGATGTTATAGCTTAATGTTGGGGGAAAATAATCAGGGACTGTATGGGGCTGAAAGTATCGTTGTTATTGTCTTATGAGGGGACTGAACGCAGGCCTGGCCCAATGTGACACGTAATGCAAATGTTTTACGGAATGTAGTAAGAGACCTCTCATTGTCAGCCACGTGGTCCCCGCCATCCTATTGATCTGTAGTCTTAAGAGTCCTATGACATTATGCAGGGCGCAGAGTGACCCCTGACCCCTTCCTCCCCCAGTGGTCCTAGAGTCCGGACTCCTGTCCCGCTTTTCCAGACTGATCTGCAACAGACAGGCTTGCTTCCCCCCACCCCCCACCCCCCACCAACAGACATGATAATGAGGGTTGTTTTTCCTCTGTATGAGCTTTGCCACGGTGCTGACCGGCTGAGCTTTCCCCCATTTGAGGTAATCCCCTTGACGCAATGGATGCCCACCCCCACAGCTCCTGGCAAATTGTAAGACCTGAAAAAGTAGTTATACTGATTCATTGAATTGTTGCATTGTTCACCACACAGACTTGATCATTTATTGAACTTGCTTTACTGTTGCACAGTGCACTAACTTGTTTATTTGTCTCTCCTTGGTTGTACACCTGATACAACCTTTCTCCTCTTTCTCTCCTTTCCTACCCTTCCTACCTCTTCTTTCCAGTCCTACAGCTGGGGGAAGGGACACTATTCCCACTCTCAACTAGCAGTAGGTGACAGAACTTCACTGCACGGGGTAAGCTGACACACCACTTGACAACACAACATGGAACTCAAACTGACCTCACTCAATGTAAACGGACTTAACACCCCCACTAAATGTAGGCTCCTATTTAGAGAGATAAGACGCCAAAAACCTGACATTGCATTTCTCCAAGATCATATCTACACAAGAACATATGCGTTCAGAGCACTCTGTAAGAGAAACAAGGTAGAAAGCCTTATACATAAGAGGTGTCCTATCCAAATCACAAATGTCCACAATGACGCGGAAGGCCGGTACATAGTCCTGACAGGTGCACTCCATATCAACACATATCACCTCATTAACGTATATACCCCCAACACCCCTTGTCAGGGGTTCTGGACAGACCTTGAAACACTGACAAAATCCCTCCCTAGGGGAATTCTAACAGTAGGTGGAAACCTGAATTCAACCCCGTGCCCAGCGACCATCCGTGGAGGTGGACAACACCTTCCCTGTTCACAAAACAGGGGGGGTCAAGACAAACTCTTGAACAACTTCATTTGGAACACGGGACTGATAGACCCATGGAGAATCCAACACCCGAGCTTACACCCGGGACTACACCTTCTACTCGGCGGCGCACACTACCTACTCGCGCATTGACCTTTTCCTCACTAACCAACTGGGAATGCAATGGATCAACAATACAACAAAAAAAGAAAGATTGACTGAACTACAGAAACAGTTGCGTAAAACAGAGATGCAACATAAACAGGCAGTAACCCAAACTTAGACCAGGGAACAGAAAGAAATCAGGCGACTGCTCAGGGAACTGATGATAGATGACATCAGTAAGAAACTGCTCCAAACAAAATGCCTATTTTATGAAATGTCCAAAAAAATGGACACACTCCTAGCGAGAGCCCTTAGACCCAAACATGCCACATCGTCTATCGCTGCCATCAAGAATGCTCAGGGAATGGTCCTAAATAACCCTAAAGATATCAACGAAGAATTTACACAATTCTTCGTCGCGGTATATAACCAATCCCCCTCTCTAACCAGTGCCAACAGTGCCTCCGCGGCATGTGTCACTACCTTCCAGACTCAGGCCCAACTTCCACGACTACCAGATGAAACAACTGCACGACTGGGGACACTCATAGAACACAACAAAATAGAAAGAGCAATAACCGACCTTAAGGGAAATAAGGCCCCGGGACCCAACGGTTTTGACGGTACCTACTACAAAACTTTTAAAGACGAACTAATCCCCCACTTGGTTAAAATGTATGCAACATGGACAACGGGTGAAACACCCAACCCAGATCTCTCGACAGCAGACATAGCCCTCATCCCCAAACCAGGCAGAGATACCACACATGTGGCAAACTACCACCCTATATCCCTCATTAACTTTGACCTAAAAGTTTAGGCCAAAATCCTGGCCACTCGACTGAACCCTATCCTCCCCAAACTCATCCCCCCGGACCAAGTGGGCTTTGTCCCCTCAAGACAACACTATGAGAACACGTGAAGAGCAACTGATCTGATATAGTGGGCGGGGAGGACTCGAACGCCTTCTCTGGTCCTCTCCCTGGACGTGGAGAAAGCGTTCGATAGAATCCAATGGCACTACTTACTCACACTCCTTCACGAGAAGCACTTTCCACCCATGTTTGTCATGGCAGTATGAGCCCTATACACCAACACTAGAGCCGAGACGGTGGTGCCGGGAGCAAACCCACGCCCCTTTGAGCAGAAAAATGGCACCCACCAAGGTTGCCCTCTATCCCCTCTCCTATTCATCTTAGCCCTCGAACCCCTATTATGCCTAATTAGAGCAAACCCGCACATAAAAGGGATGAAAGTGGCAGCTGAGGAATTTAAAATCTCTGCCTATGCAGATGACGTCCTACTCACCCTTACAGACCTGAGAGACTCAGTCCCTCATCTCCTTGACACGCTGGACACATATCACCTAGTTTCGGGATATAAAATAAACCTAGACAAATTGGTTGGCATGCCACTTGGGATACGCGATGCAGACATCCACAGGCTTCAACAAACAACCGACCTGAAATTCAACCCACAACCTATTAAATACCTGGGTGTCAAACTGACGCCTAACCACGACGACCTATAAGCGGAGAATCATCAACGCCTGATTCATACCCTACTCACAGATATAGACCGGTGGCATGAGAAACCTATTTCATCAAAAAACAACTCATTTTCAAAGCAATCATCATGAGGTACTGCCAAGGAAAATGTATCCATTCACCCATCAATTATTGTATTGTGTGTTTTCTGTAGTATGCATTGTTAATCTGGTTGGTATTTGTTTTTACTTGAAGTCATTGATTGCCCGAGTATATCATCTCCAATATGATATGCAAATGGAAAGGGCTCTATTGAGACAATGGGCTGTGCATGCACATAAGTAGATACACTGCAGGATGCATTCTCTCTCTCTTATCTCTGGTGGGTTTTATAGAGTCTAAGTGTCTTATCCACTTCATTGCCAATAGGAGGGATGTAATAAGTGGGGGGAACTGATTAACAGTCAAACTGTATGACAATTAAGTGTTATTGTGTTTTAATACATGGATTCTACCCTTAGGCAATAATGGAGTCCTCTGTGAAGCACATGGCCTTTCACCAGGCAAAACCAGTTGGGTTGTTGATAAACTCCTCCTCCATTCCCTTCCAATGCAAACCCCCTTCCCCCATGAGGAACTCTAGTTCTGTTACATCCTAAGGGATTGACTGAGGGAGGTGTGTGCAGCATAAGGAAAGGCTAACCTGTTAAAAGCCCTGTGAATAGCACATTCTCTCTCTCTTTGAATTCACCCTCCTCATTCTCTCTCTATTTGAATTCACTCTCCTCACCTTCTCTCTCTACTACCTCTCCCCACTATACTCCCCCTCTCTCTCTTACTCTCAGCTGATGATCAATGGAGTGGTAACTGTATCACGTGTCTATGCCTGTTTTACTATGTTAATTTAGTTTACTTTCCATTCAATTAATGACTAGTTTTGGTAGCAACATTTACTAGCCTCATTTAAATGTATATGTATTGTTTGTTGGTTTGATTAGCCTCTTAATAAATATTATTGAATTGTGGAAAGCAAGGAGTGTGGACTCTGACTTTACACTCAGTTTTTAAGTTATTATTTTTAGTTATTAATGTTATTAATTCCAAGTATACTCCAACTTACGAGTTAAAGTTTATTACAAAAGGTAACCAGAGGTGACCTCAAAACATTACAGACAGCAAAAGACAATTTCATCTGGGCCAGGATGAGACACAGGGTCGCAAGGCACACCCTATACACCCCAAAGAGCAGAGGAGGCCTGGGACTCCCCAACCTTCATCTTTATTACCTGTTGGCTCAATTAGCACAAATAGTGGAATGGCACTCGCCACCAGATACTCATAGATGGGTGGACTTGGAAACGCTGCTCATGAGTGCTGACCTCCCACAGTTCTGGACCTGGGTTCCCAAACCAGATAGACCCGAGCTTCACACATCATGCCCAGCGATCCTGAATTCAATCAGGGTATGGGACACTACAGCACATAAATATGCACTTACTCACCCAATTTCATCACTAACACCAATGTAACAAGGCATTCCCGCAGAGTCTCTCTCCCAGGGACTTCAAGGGCATAGAAGCCACAGGCTTTCAGGCTTCACCTGTTCCAGGCAGGAATGGTCCAAACCATCAACGATTTTAAAACCCTAGCCCCACTGAATACGAGAGACCACTTTAGGTACATTCAACTTAGGGACTTCACCAGAGGTCCATAGGTCAAGGCCGCGGCCAAGGCCAAACCCACCTTTTATGAGCCACAGTGTATGTCGGATGGACCATGGGCCAGCCTTATCACCCTCATATACAAGCAACTGAGCACACCGTCCGGTGATACCCAACCACCTACCTACGTCTCACAATGGGAGACGGAACTCCATCAGACATTAGAGAGCGGGGAATGGCAAGATATCTGGGAGGCGGCGACAAAGGCCTCCATCTGTGTCCTACAGCAGGAACAGATGTGACTGGTACACCACACCGGTCAAACTATGTAGAATGGGCAAAACACCCACTGACATATGCTGGAGGGGATGTGGAGAAAAGGGAACATACCTACACTCGTACACTTCTGGGATGGTATAACTAGACTCCTGACAGAAGTCCTGAACAGACCAATA